CCACCTGTCCTCCGCTGCTGCTCCTCCCTGGCTCCAGCTGTGCCTACAGCCCAGGCCTCTCCCCCAGCACATCACCCCATGGCCGTCCACGGCCCTTCGGGGAGAGCCCTGCCATCTCTGGCCTGGCACGTGGAACACTTGTCTCCCAGTGCCCCCCTCTGCTCCCCCAGGACTCATCCCGGGCTCCAGGCGGGCAAGTTGCTGACAGCTCCTCGGTGCCCTGCGCGTCTGGCTTTAGGCCTTCAAATGCATCCTTTCAGCCGCTGCAGCTCTCCACAGCCTCGGCTGACTGCCGGCCTCCTACACGATCCTCAGAGCCCAGTTCCAATGTCATCTCTTCTCGGCCTCTGATCTCTCTGGCGAGTGTGAGTCACTCCTTCCTCTGGAGCTCATCCCTTCACCAGAGAACAGGGCTTAGGGAGTTCCGTCCATGCTCTGGGCCACATCTGGGCAGACACCACGTGCTCTTGGTTACTGCGGATCCCCAGGGACTACCCAGTGCCTCACACGTAGCCGGTGCTCTTGACATGTGTTATGTGGATGACTAAATGCTAGAGAATACTTTCTAGCATCATGGGTGGTGAGGATCACTGTCAGGGATAGGATCTACACAGACTGCATCCTCCAAGCTCACCTTTTATTACTTTCTTGTGTTAAACGCCTCTTTCTTACATTAAGAGCCATATGTCCGCAGGAGAAGAGATCTAAGACTCAACATTTCCTTCCTACCTCAGGACCTTTGCATGTACTACACTGTTTGCCTAGAACGCTTTTCCCCAGCAGATTCATGTTCTCATCCTCAGGTTTCAACTTCAGTGGATGTGACATAGCTCCTTGAAAGAGCCCAGGCATTGCTCTGTGGTTCTCTGCTCTGCACAGCGCCATGTTTGTCTCTTCCATAGCAACGGCGGTAGTGGGTGGGTTTAGTGACCATCTCTGCTTTTGAGTTTCTGACCTCTCTCTGCCGGGAACATCAGCCCCAGAGGTTGGGTAATTTGCTGGTTTGTTCACCCAAGTGTTCCCGGTGCTCTTGAACACAGCAGGTGCTCGATGAGGAGCCATCGAGTAGCCGGTGAATGATTGTGTGAACCTGGGGCTGTGCAGGGTCCCGCAAGGAGCAGCCCAGGAGGTGCCCTGGAGAGATCTGTGTCCCACCAGCTTTGTCACGGTCCCCAGGGGCTTTCCCGCCCCCCTCTAGGGCCACACCCCCAGCGCCAGGGTCTGAGTGACAGCGACCGCCGTCAGCAGATAATGATGGGGATCGTGTGGACAGGGCACTGGTTTGCCTGCAGCCCATAGCACCTCCTCAGCTAAGCGGGTTCTAGAGGTAGGCTGGGAAGAGCTGGCCAAATGCCCGCGGGCAGAAAGGAGATTGCCATCAGCTCGACGCGGGACCTGGCCACCTCTTGTGCTTTTCTCCGAGGCTCAGATGCCCGTCTGTGGGATGGGCAGTAGCCCCTGCCCAGCTGAGGCGTGGGAACGGGAGCCAGGCACACTGCCCGTGTGTGTTCTGTGTTAGCAGCTTAGTCGGGGGAGCTGGGCGTGGGGAAAGGGCCTGTCCTGCCCGGCGCTTGTGACCTCTCAGCTGACCTTCCCTGCCAGGCTGCAAATCTCTGCGGACTCAGCTTCCCCGAGCCTGAGCAACCTTCGCTCCCGGGACCTCTCTGTGCAGCTTGTTTGGGGGGCGGTGCAGCCCAGCCCCAGCCCCAGCCCCTGCACACTCCTGCTGCACAGCCTCGCACTTGGGCAGCCCTGCCCAGACCACAGGCTTCTCTCCTCGCTGCAGCGGCGGGGGGCAGCTCCCTACACCAGGATGGGCGGGGACAAGGCAGAAAAAAGCGACGCTTTAGACCACAGCAGCGGGAGGCCACCAGCTCAGGGGCTGCGGTGGAGCGGCCCTTCCTGGGCAAAGGAGAAAGTTACAGGGACGCGTCCCTGTGTGCTCCATCAGGGTCCCTGGCAGGTGAGGGGACAGAAGCCCAGTCTTGACCACGGGCTCACACAGCGAGGGAGCGCTTGGGCTCCTCGCCTCCCCAGGGCCAGCTCTGGCGGCCGGATCCTCGCTGGGGCTGCAGAGAGCAGCGGGCTGGGTCCCTGCTGCAGGTGTCCTGGCAGCTGAGGCCCTTGCTGGGGCCCTGCCCGGCCCTGGGGAATATTCTCAGATCAGGGTAGAAGTTCCAAGTTTACTCAGAGATCTCTTCTGAGCTGTCATGAAAAGTCCCTTTGGCCTGGGGCCAGGGCAGGGTGGGGGTGGTGGCACCTGGGAGCCAGGGGGAGGGTGGGGCGCCTGCCGGGGGCCTGGAGAAGAGCAGAGGAAGGGGCAGCGGGCAGGAAGACCCCTTGCTCAAGGATGTGCTGCTTCCCTTGTCTTGTGGCCCTCTTTTCCTTCCCAGGGGCCTCCTGGGTGACCCTAGAAAGCGCCCCCCTCCAGCCCTCAGTTTCCCCGTGGGGTGAGGTGTGAATCACCCCAAGATCCATCGTTAGCTGAAGGCTCGGTACATGCTGGCGTTCCAGCCAGGAACAAGACTACGATGACCCAAAATATTTAAAGTAAAACCTAACAGTTACTCTCTTCTCTCCCCTCCCCCAACCTGTCCCTCTCTTTCCCAGCGCTGGGGACTGAACCCAGAGCCTCCTTCCTGCTGATTTGCATCCCCAGCCCTTTTCTATTTTTCGTTTTGAGAGGGTCTTACTAATACCTAAGCTGTCCAGGGTGGGCTGGAGCTTGTCATTCTCCTGCCTCAGCCTCCTCGCCAAGTACTAGGACTGCAGGTGTGGGCCACCATGCCCAGATTAGCTACCGTTTCCTGAGAGCCAGCTCTGCGGGTCACTGCTAAGCACTGGTCCTCATCACAGCACTGGCTGGGGCTCTGGGCACCATCGGGGCACCATCGGGGCAGGACTCGGAGAGGCCGCTCACACCACACGTGTGTGTCAAAGCCTCGCGAGAGCCCCGCGACCTCCTCGTGCTCCTGTTCTGTTCTGACACGACTTCCTCTAGTCACAGGGGAGGCCGCAGGGTGCAGAGAGATCAGGGGCTCGCCGGGGTCACACAAGCACTAAGTCGTGGAGCTGGGCCTTGAACCCAGGTCGGGCTCATTCCCAAGTCCCGAATCACAACCAGCTCCCTCTCCCCCGCCAACCCCAGGACGCCAGGGACGGCTCTGAGGGTCAGGACCGCCGCTCCCGCTGCAGGGACCGGGGGTGCTGGTAGGAAGGGACCCCTCCGCCCTGCACACGTGGAGGTGCCAGGCCCCAGGCGTCCCTGGCGCTGCAGAGAAGTCGGTGCCTCCCCAAGCTGGGGGCCTGTTTTCATGCATCCAGCTTCTCCCCTGCTGGTCTCTGCCTCCACCTTAGGGGCTCCATCTTTACCTCCCTCTCCCTCTCTGGCCTCTACGGAGACCTGATCTCCCTGGCCACGTCCTGTCACACAAACTCTCCCTCTGCCTCTCTGCGGGGCTGTGAAGGACCTGGGCACTGGCTGGAATGCAATGGGTAGGACCAGGGCTTCTGCAGAGCCTACCGTAGGGACCTGTGGTCAGGGCCCCTCTGCTGCAGGCCACCCACACATGGGAATGGATGCCCTGCCATGGGGACCCAAGGCCCCTTCTTAAAGGTGGCCAGGCCAGGAGTCCCCCTTTTGCATTATCCTGTCCTGTGGGCTGTTCCTTGCCATCATATAGACTGGAGTCCAATTGCAGCCCAGTCACAGTCAACCGGAGACTAAAGTTGTCCTGGCTGAACCTCAGTCTTGACACCTGTGAAATGGGCTGCATAAGCCCACCAGCCTCACCTATTCTTCAAGCTCCTGGAAGATCCTCAAGCACCTCCAACCTGGTGGGCACTGATGTCAGAAGGAAGGAGCCCCAGGGCCGTGGAAGGGAGGGCCATCTTTACTGAGTGTGTCCCTGTCTGTGGGCCCCAGATTCCCCAGCATACAAACTTCCCCCCAAAAGGGACGGGGTGTCTGCAATTCCAGCTATCACTTTATGCTCTGCAGGTCTTGCACACAGGCCCACAGGATGGCTCTGCCTTTGTGCCCATTTTACAGATGGGTGTGCTGAGGATGCTGGAGGCTGGAAGCAGAGACCTGCATGTTCACCCAGCTGGGGAGCTGAGTGGCCGGGTTTTGCCCTCTAGGTTTCCCCCACTCCACCATGTGTTCTGAAACCCTGCCACCCCCCGGCGGGGTGCAGATGTCCTCCTAGGAGCAGCCTTGTGGCTTATTAATGTCCTGAGGCTGCGTCCTGTGCTCCCGCCGAGCCCCAGTTTGTCACCTTTTTGTCCTCACCCTTACGTCTCCTCCCCAGCGCCTCCACCAGGGAGGAATCTGTCTGTGTCTTCCTCTCCCGAGCTTCCCGCCTCAGCCTGCACTAGCCTCCCGATCCCCCCGCCCCTCCATACGTGAGGAGCTTTGCCTCTTCCGCCTGGCCCCAGCCTGGGGTTCACGGAAAGGATGAGCAGCCAGCGGTGGGGTGAGCTGGGGTGACCGTCCCCCGCCGCATCCTGGCTGAGAATACCCTCCTTCTCAGGTGACACGAGCACACCAACCCCTCCGAAGGGTTAGATGAAGTAAAGCTGATACTACACGGAAGCTGGCACCAGGCTGAGGTCCCTCCCTGCCAAAATGGGCCCCTTGGAGTGCCAGTCCCCCTGTATGCCTGTCCTTGCCTGGGTGGCTGTCCACACCCAGCTGACTGTCACCTCACGTTTGGCAGAACTGGTTTCCTTGCCCAGCCCCTGCTTCTAGTCTGCACGCCCCGGCCGTGCCCCTGCCCGCCGCCCCCAGGCCTCCTGGGAGGGGTCCGGCCATTCTGAGCTGGGCTGGTAGGGCTGCAGCTCTGGCCTGACTGCATGAGCCTTCTGTGACGTGACTCTAGCTGTGACCTGGGCTCCTCAGAGCCCTCCCACCACAGCGGTGCTGGGTGCTGCGGCCGGGCACGGCTCTGGGGGCACAGAAGATCCCCGCCCCCGGGGGGCAGCGGCCGCAGTCCCGTTACCTGCTTCTTCCGTGGGCTCAGAAGTCCATTCTGCGCTCTGGGGCAGTCTGGTGGCCTCCTGGGGGGGCAGCTGGGTTTGGGGCGGAGGTGGGAGATGAGGATCTGAGGAACCGAGTCTGGGGTGAGAATCCACAGCCTGTCCCAGCCGCCAGACAGTCACCCAGACTGAGGGGCAGCTGCGCTTCGGAGCAGGTGTCCCCGGAGAGGAAGGCAGGGACAGAAGGCAGCCAGACAGGAGCAGGAGGGCCCTCAGGGACCAGGCGGCTGCACGCGGGCCGGACAGACAGGCAGGCAGACAGACGCATGGAGAGTGTGCGGCCCGCAGTCACGCGTGGAGGGAGGCAGGACACGAGGGCACCGAGCCTGGGTCCCCCACTGCCGCTGGCCGGCAGCTGCCATCCCTGCAGCAGGGCGGGGAGGAGGAGGAGGATGTGGTGACGGCGCCCCGCCCCGCGCGGCTCCTCCTCGGCGCTGTGAGAGCCCGCTGCTCCCCAAAGGTCAACTGCTAGGAAAACTCTGGGGGTGACAGCTGCCTCTGGGGGACGGGTGACGTCATCCCCACCGGCCTCACGCTGTCCCCTGAGGCAGGCAGCGCTGCCGTGTGGGGACCCGGGCGCGGGTGTGTGAAGGGAAGATGCATCCTGCCGCGGACTGCCCCTTGGTCCAGGCCACGCCCCGCTCTCGGGGAGCGGAGGCCCAGGCCAGGACCCCAGGTCCCGAGAAGCCCCTCCGCCTACAGTTGAAAGCTGGCCTGTGTCGCTCATCCCTTGCCTTCCTGCCTGCCCTGTAGGTCCCTGGGCTTGGGACCCTCTTCCCTGTGACCCAGCTCCTCCTGGGGTCCATCTCCTGCTTCCGCCCTGCAGGCAGCAGGACCCTGTCCCCAGGCTCCAGAGGAGTGAGCCCCTGCGGCCTGCCATCACCTCTGTGAGGCCTCCCTCTCCCCAGCAGTCCAGAGGGGACATCTAGCCTGGAGAGTCAACCCTTCCTACCTGGGAACTTACAAAGATAACAGAAAAGAAAGACATTCTTAAAAGAGCTCTGGTCTTGTGTCAAACCCAGAGACCCTTGAGAGGTCACGGGTCTCTGGTAAATATTTAAGAAACCAGGCAACTGGGACCCTGGTGTGCCTGTAATCCCAGCACTCTGGGAGGCTGAGGCAGGAGGGTTGCAAATTTGAGCCTAGCCTGGGCAAAATAAAAAATACAAAGGACTGGATGGAGCTCAGGGTGATGGCCCTTGGTTCAATCTCCAGTATTGGGGCAGGGAGTGGGGACAAAAAAGAACAAAAGAAGCCAGGGGACAAAATTCAGCTGGCTCCTGCCCAGAGACCTCGAAAGAGAAAAAGCAAGAAAATCACTCACACCACCATCCCCACGACCACCAGGACCACCACACCCCCACCTTGCCGTGCGTGGGCACCCACGTGACCTCCTTTTATCCCGTAAACCCTGGAAGCGGACAAGACTTGCCCCATTTTTTATATGCAGAGGCTGAGGCCAGAAAGAGTGAAACATTCCCGGAGCCAGAGAGTGTCAGAGCTGGGATTTGAACCTGGGATTCTCGAGCTTGCCCAGGCGGAGGCCCCAGAGCAGGGTGAAGTGTTCTCAGTCCAGGCAGGATTTATGACACAAGCCTCCTCTCCCTGACTGACTCATTTTTGGGAAACACATTGCAGCTGGTCCACATGACCACTCCAGAGAAAAAGAGAAAGCATCTTTCTGTTTATTTCTTGATTTTCCCCTCTGCCTCGCTGTTTGAGGAACTCGGTACAAATTCCCCTGTGGTCAGTTTGAAGGCTGTCTGCTCTGTAGCCAGAGCGTCTCTTCCTGACCGCCGGACTCCTCAAGTTTTCTGCAGGACAAACCTTGGCCAGTGGTCAGGTTTCTTTTTCCTTTCTCTTAATCTTCAAAGCGACTCTTCTGACACCATGCCCTGGAACTAGCAGTGGCTGAAAGGCCAAGGGAAGGAACGGCAAGAGGAGTTAGTATCTGTGAAGAGCTCACTCTGTCAGGTTTTTCGGGACTTAAAGGGGCATGGTCTCTGCTGGGGGTGGAGGTGCACACCCGTAACTCAGCCCTCCGGGAGACTGACACAGAGGAATCGCAAGTTCCAGGCCAGGCTGGATAACTCGGCAAGACCCTCTCTCAAAATAAAATAATAAAGTGTGCTGGGGTGTAGCTCAATGGAGAGAACCCCTGAGTTCCATCCCTGGTATCCACCACCCTCAAAACGCATGGCCTCAAACCTCAGCATCACTCAAGAAGACAAATACTACCATTATCATCTTTTTTTTTTTTTTGGAACAGGGTCTCACTATGTAGTTCAGTCTAGCTCTGAATGCGCTATGTAGCCCAGGCTGGCCTCAAACTCACAGGGATCCTCCTGCCTCAGCCTCCCAAGTGCTGGGATTACAGGTGTGCGCCACCATACCTGGTGTCATCATCATCTTTATCTTCATGGTCGTCTTCCCTGTGCTACAGATGAGAGAGGCTCAGGGAGGTCAGGTGACTGGCCCTTCCCTTCTTCCTTCCTCTATGCCTTCTCCCTCCTCCCTGCTCTCTCCCTTCCTCTCTTCTCTTCACCAGTATGATCGAGGAGACCCTTGTCTGTGAGGACAGACACCTCACAGAAGGAGACACAGGGTGCCCGCCCCCCTTGCGTCTGTTATTCCTGAGGGGAGAGACAAACACAGCAGGTAAAGTATAGCAAGTGTGTCTTGTTTTTAGTGTCACAACAAACCCACGGGAGGTGAAGGTCGTAACACGTAGACACACAAGACCCTAAGAAGGAACCCGACCTGGGGGCAGTGTTTCCGGCAGGAGGACCTGCAGATGCAAAGACGGAGTTGGGGAGGCATGTGGCTTGCTCCAGGAACCTGGGGACAGAGCAGGGGAGGGAGGCACAGGCAGAGAAACAGTAGCAGGTGATCACAGAGACGCACCGCGTGCAGGCCACATGAGACCTTGCAAGACCTAGCAAGGAGGGTAGATTTGGTTCCAGTGGAAACAGGAAGTCATTTGAGGTTTTCAGAGGGGGCCTAGTCCAATTTATATATCAAAAGGGGGCTCAGGCCTTGATGCGGGCAGTGGGTGGGGACAGTCCTTAGTCCCTAGTTAACACGGAGATGGTTTGGGAGCTGGAAATTTAACAACTGCCATAATCGTGTCCGTTGGGGTGAACGTGAGTCTATGCAAAAGTAGAGGTGTCTTCAGAGAAGGCCCCTCGGGCTCTGTACCCATCTCGGCACGCTCCTGCTGCTTTGGAAGGGGTGTGTGATCCGACCTCCGCGGCCCTCCTGACCGCCTGAGCGCTGCTCAGAGCTGACCAGTAGAGAGGAAGTGGTCACTGTTGCGTTTCAGCCAAGTGGTCTCCTGGGGACAAAATAATGGAGATAACTTCCTGCTTGGCCCAGTTCTTCTTTTTCATTTTGCCAGCGTCTTGATTGAGGTATGATTTACCGAAGATTCAGTCGCCAGAAGTGTATGATTCAATTATTTTTAATAAATTTAACCAAGAGTGCAGCTCTCACCAGAATCTAATGTTGCAAAATTTCCATCATCCCAGAGAGACCCCTTGCGCCTGTCTGCAGTCCCTCTTCCCACGTGTTTTGTTTTGTTTTGGATTGGTTTTTGGTTTTTTGAGACAGGGTCTCACTGTGTGGTTTAGGCTGATCTTGAACTCGCTGTGTAGCCCAGGCTGGCCTCAAACTCTCAGTGATCCTCCTGCCTCAGCCTCTCTAGTGCTGGGATTACGGGTGTGCACCACCACACCCAGAAGGAACCTACTTTTGACCTTTACTGGTTTTCTTTTTTCTTTGGTGGGAATGTTACACAAGTTGATCATACATTATGTTACCTTCTATGTCTGGCTTCTTTCCTTCAGCATATTGTGCTTGAGGCTGAACTTTGCTGCAGTGTGTGTTGGCTGAATTTTTGTTGCTGAACACTGTCCTATTGTACAGATGTGCTGTGATATTTATCATTCATTAATTGATAGACATTTTAGATTGTGTAAGCTTTTCTCTTTACTATTTATAAAAATTCTGTGAACACTTGCATACAGGTCTTTGTACAGATGAGCACCGTCAAACCTCTTTGGTATATACCCAAGAGTGAAACTGCTGGGGTATATGATAATGTTATGTTTTGTTTTTTTGTTTTGTTTTTCCTCCGGTACCGGGAACCGAACTCACGACCTTGTGCTTGCCAGGCGGGCGCTTTTGCCGCTGAGCTAAATCCCCAGCCCTTATACGATAATGTTATGTTCACCCTATTGGACGTTGCTTTCCCCAGAATTTGAACTGTATTACATCCTACTAGTGAGTTATGGTGGTTCCATGTTCCTGTATCTTTCCCAATGCTTATTTTCCTTCTCTTTTTAATAGAAGCTATCGTAGTGGGTGTGGTTTTGTTTTGCATTTCCATAATAGCTGATGACATTGAACAACTTTTCACATCCTTAGTAATCAATCGTATATTTTCTTTGGAAGAAAGTCTATTCAAGTTATTTGCCAATTTTTAAATAGGGTTACTTGTCGTTTGTTGGGTTGTAAGAGTTTTTTTTTTAATATATTCTGGATATATGACTATTATCAGATATATGCTTTGCAAATATTTTCCCCATTCTTTGGATTATCTTTTTCTTTTTTCTTTCTTCTTCTTCTTCTTTTTTTTTTTTTTTTTTTTGAGGCAGCTCTCGCTATGCACTGCAGGTTGGCCTTGAGCTCACTTATGTAGCCCAAGCTGGCCTCAAACTCACAGCAGTCCTCCTGCCTCAGCCTCCCAGGTGCTGGGGTTATAGGTGTGAGCCATCATGCTAGGCCCTTCATTTTCTTGATAGTATGCTTTTAAATTTTGGTGAAGTATGATTTATCTCTTTTTTCCTTTTTGTTGGTACTTTGGTGTCCTATCAAAGAATCCATTGCCAAATCTAAAGTCATAAAGACTTCACCGTGTTTCCTTCTAAGAGTTTTATTATTTTAGCACCTATATTTAGATCTGCAATCCATTGTACATTGATTTTTGTATATGATGTGAGGTAAGGGCTCAACTTCATTCTCTTGTCTATGGAGACCCAAATGCCCCAGACCATTTGTTAAAAAGACTGCTCTTTCCCACTGACTTGTCTTAACATTGCTGTCAGAAACCGAGATATATAGGTTTACCTCTAGACTCTCAATTCCAGTTCACTGATGTGTATGTCTATCCTTGTGCCAATATCACACCATTTTGAATATTGTAGCTCTGTCGTAAGTTTTGACATTGAGAAGTTTAGCTCCCTGACTTTTGTTCTCCAGAAGAGTGTTTTGGCTATTTCAGGTCACTTTCAATTCCACATGATTTTTAGGATCAGACTTTTTTGTTTAAGAAGCGAGAGAGCACTGAGATTTTGATAGGAATTGCATTAAATCTACAGATCCTTTCTTTGAGGATTTTTCAGGATATTTTTATATTTAAGACCAAGTCATCAGATCATGTCAAATTTTTCCACGTTTAAGATCATGTCTTCCTCTCCAGTTTGGAGGCTGTTTATTTCTTTTTCTTGCTAAATTGTTCTGCTTGAAACCTCTAGCACAATACTGAATAACAA